TGCTCATTCCTGTGGGGAAGCAACTTCGTTTGGAATCTTTGATTTGACCAATAAATCACCTTTTCAGCTGCTTTGTTGAAGGCAAGTCCTGCCACCTCCTCCTTGGATGCTTGTGGGGCTGGGAAGAGCTTCCCATTCCCCTTCCATCCTCTGGTGCTGTCCTGGCCACAAGGTGGTGGGGGGACCTGAGGTGGTTTAACGCCAATTCCCACATCCAGGTTGGGATGCACTGGGGACAAGTCACCATGCTGGGATGTAATGGGTGTAAAGCCCCCACAGCCCTGATCCCACCATTCCAAGAGCCCATCCTGCTCCATCCCCTTGCTTTAGGGAGGAGATTTCCTGGAGCTGAGAGCATCCCTCATGGAAATGTGTTGGGAGTGGTGCTGAGATCACACTCTGCATTTCAGGGTCTCTCATGGCTCAGTTCCACCTGACCCCCACCTCTCCCTATCCCAAAGGGGTTTGGGCTCCATTGGGAAAGCCAAGCCAACTCTCCAGGATTTGGGGTTTTTTGGCACTCTCCAAATCCAAGAAGGAGCAGAGTGAAGGGAGAGCATTATGCCACTGGAACAATGGGGTTTTGCATCCATAGGTCCAATTTCCAAGGAATTTCAGGGTGGCAGGTGCTGTTCCCCCACACAGACATGATTTGTGGGATTTGCTCATCCACGGCCCCTCAGGCAAAATCCTGTGGAGAAAAGGCATCAGAGGGATTTGGGAGGAACTGGGGCTCCCTGGGGATGCAGTATCCAGGTGTGATCAGAGATGGGGTAGGAAATGCCAATGGGCAGTGGCTTCACTCCCCAAACAGGTCCCCACAGGGGAGTTCCCTTCCCCAAGTGACCCCCTTGGAGGGGCTTTGTCACCATCTCAAATCCACAACATCCCCCAGGTGCTGGAGGACCAGCAGATCCCCACCCTGGGATGTCACTTGTGCCCCAGGGTGTGTCTAACAAATTGATTTTTAATAAAAACGTTGTGGTTTTTGTTGATATGAAAATGTCTTTTGTTAATTCCTGTGTTTTGATATGTAAATAAAAGAGTTTCCTCCCCTGGGATGGAGGAGCCTCCCTGTGGCTTTCCTCTTTTTTCCGCAGTGCATGAACATCCCATCCAATATCCATCCAAATCCAGTGGAGGAGTCACTGATCCCTAAATCCCTGGGGTTTTTTTAATTATTAAAACTTTTCACCCAGAAATGATGTTTCTTCACGTGCTGGTTTCCTAAAAGAAACCCCAACTAAATTCCCTAAAAAAAAAAAACCCTGGAGGAAACAGTGCAGTTGTGAATCCTCAGGGATGGCCAGCGGTGGCCAGGAGCTTTGGTTTTCCGTGGATCCCTAACGAGGATAATCCTTGTGCTGCGCTAATTAAACGAGGCAATGAGCAGCTCCGAGCCGTGGCTCCGCCACCCACCGGCACCGCTGCTCCCTTCCCGGGGAGGATTGGAATTTCCAGCCGGCTGTCGTTAAAGCTCTGCTTGGGGGTGATTAATTTCCAAGCAGGGATAAACTCGGCCCCTGGAGAGGTGTCACTGAACTCCAGTGGGTTCTCCCTCTGTCTCCAACATCCTCAGTTCCTCGGCAATGGGCTCCCATGGGATTTATCCATCCTCGCTGTGAAGCCGGGGTGCGCTGTTGGGCTCGGGGACCCGGCAAGGACATTCCCTGGGGGGGTGCCACGACTGAGAGGTTGGCACAGGGTGGAGTTTCTGGAGGGCTCCATAAACATTTCCTGGAAAAACCTTCCTGCGGCGGGTGCTGCTGGCACGGCTCTTGGTCCCCTGCCGGGGAAGCAGGTGCCGGGTGAATGTAACCCGCCAGGATCGGTTTTCTGTCTGTCATTGGCGTGGCTGTTCCCTGCCCTCCTCCTTTTCCACCTTCTCCTCCCTCAGCCTCCTCCTCCTCCCAGCCTCTCCATATGATTTCCACCCTCCCCTCCAAAATTCCTGGCCCTGCAGCAACACCGGGTTGTAGGGCAGATGCTGGTGGACCATCACCAAGATGGTCCCACCCTCTCTCCGTGGGGTGCATCGTGGTGGACACCACCCTCCCATGGGGTGAGGTGACTGTCCCCAAACCACCAACACCCCAACTGGGAGCTGTGTGCCATCCAGGGAAACTGAGGCAGCCCCAGGTGGGCACCCCGCCCTGCTCCAAGGGGTGATGGGGCACACGAGCTCTAAAAGTGAAAGGTGACGCCATCCCAAGGCCACCAACCTGGTTATGTCACTTGACTGCCTGTGAGTAAACTTAGCTGGCGGGCCCGGCGCGGCGGGGAGGGTTGGGGACATGCCATGGGCATTTCCTAAAAATACCCCCGGGGGTGTCGCTGGGGAGCCACGCCCCGTTGGAGCCCGGCCCGGTCCTAATCCCTTGGTGGCTCCTGTCCCAGCTTGGGTGGCAGCTGCTGGTGGGGGCCGGGTGCCCCCAGGGTGGAGCAGCTCTGGGGAGGAACGTGGTGCCAGGGGGAGGGAGGTGGCACCCCATCTTTTCCCAGTGCAGGATCCCGGTATCCCGATACACAGGTGGAACGATGATGGATTTAGGGTGATACAATGAAGCAAAAAGGGTTAAAACCACCCCACAAAAAGGGTCCACCTCCTTGTCCTCTCCCTCAAGTCGTGCCCAAGTTTGGGGTCTCCAAAACGGGATATCCGTCCAATATGGGATAACATCCAGGATCACCAGAGAATGGGGGTCATGTTTAGGGCTTTGCCTGCATCCATGACCCTTCCCAAGAGGAATAAATGCCCCCTCCCCGCCCTGATTCAATTACCAACAGAAAGATGGACCCTCCCCAGAGGCCGGATCCAGCAAAAGCAATAATGTGGGATTTTAATTGCTGGAGTTGCAGCGGGATAAATGTTTTCATCCTCAAAAACCACCTTTTTTGCATTAATTTGACCCTACATCGAAAGGGTCAGTTAGCAGCCATGAAGAGCAGTGTCCCCGTGTCCCCAGGTCCCCAAGCAGCCATTGGCTGGATGAGGGGAATCTCACCCCCCACATCCTGAGGAGCTGCCTGTAGGATGCAGCAGGGTTGGGATGCAGTAGACCCAGGATGCATCCTGCAGGTAACAGAGAAAATCCTGCACCCCGAGGGGATGAATGGGTGGGTGTTGCCAGCCTCTGTGCAGTGAAGCTTCTCATCCCTTGGGATTAGGTGGGACCACTCCATGGCCACTGCCCCGTGCCTCAGTTTCCCAGTCCTGTTCCTCCCAGGCTGCAGCAGCCATGAGGTTGCAGATGGAGCAGCAGGGCCACATCCCAGCCAGGGCCTCATCCAGGGGTGGCATGAGCACCCCCAAAACCCCCTGCCCAGCTGCCTCTGGGTGCCAGTGACACCTTTTCCAGGTGCTGGGCTGGCACCTCCATCTGGTGACACTCCCGTTCATGTGTCAGGTGTGGATGTCACCTGTGCCAGGTGCGATTCCACCTCCAAAACCAAAGGCAGCACTGGAGCACAGAGGTGCAGGTGGCTGCTCCCTGACCAGCAACAGTTTATGGGAAATCCCGAAAAATCCCCAAAATTATATTTATTTGACTTTCTGCAAGGATGGAAGTGCTCCAGGAAGGGTCCTGGGCTGTTCCTGAGGTGGGGAAGGGGCTGCATTCCGATGCTGTGGTCCCTCAGCGAGGTGGCACCAAACCCGATTTAGGCACAGTAACTCCTTTCTGGATATTTCCCATTTTGGGGAGTAGGAAATTAGGATTTCCAGGATATTTCTCCGCATTCCACGCTCAGTTCAGGGCAGAGGGTGGGAGACGAAGCCCCAAATTGGGATGAGGGAGCCGAGAGAGTCCAGGGGGTACCCGGAGCATTCCCTCACCTCCGGAGACTGACAGCTGCCCCGGGGGCGTTGCCATGGGGATATGCAAATCTAATCGGGATGTCGGGATGCTGATAAGCTGGAAGAGCTTAGCCCCGCCTCAGTAGGAGGGCCCGTGCCTCGTTTTCCCCGTATAAAAGCCGGCGAGTTCCATTGAGCTCCCGGCGGCGGCGGCGCCGGTCGCGGGTAGGGGCGGGCAGGGGAGCGGCCCCCGCCCCCAGGGCGCCGTGTCCCGGCGGGAGGAGGAGGAGAAGGAGGCAGGAGAAGGCTCGGAGCCCGGGGAGGTGGGGCCGGGGCAGGTGCCAGGGGAGGCAGGAAGGGGCGGGCAGGGCTCTGCCCGCTCCTCGCCATTGGGAACCGAGCGCAGGCAGCGGCGGAGCCCGCCCGGCCCGAGCGCAGAGCCGTGGCGGCCGGAGGACGGCCCCGGAGCCCAGCAGCGGAGCGGAGCCGAGCCCCGACGGAGAGAGGTGGCTGTGCCGCAGCAGAGCCCCGGCGGAGGGTCCCGGAGCCCGGCTGAACTGCACCGCCAAGTCCCGTCGGAGGCGAGCACCGGAGCCCGGCTGAGCCCCGCAGCAGAGCCCCGGCG